TGGGTTTATGTGTAATATTATTTTATTTGAAGAATGTGTGGTTAGAAATGAGTTGTTAAAAAGTAAGAAGAATTTTTGGGTTTATGTGTAATATTATTTTATTTGAAAAATGTATGGTTAGAAATGAGTACTGTAGAAAAATGAGAATGAGAATGAGATAAAAAATGGGTGTCAAATAGGGGCTATAACTCTAAAAACAGTACAAATAAAGGGCCACGTATAGGGTCGACATGGCCGCGTATACATTCGAATGAATAACTCTTGTACGTAATGTCTCAAGATACTGGTACAAAAAGGTGGGCAAAATGGACCCACCATTTTAATATCCTAAAATCGTCTAATCAATTAACAATAAACACACCTTTTTAGATTAGAATAATGTTACATGAATATTTTGGATGACATTTTACTATAATTAAGCTGTATTATTTGTGTGTGTGGGTGTGTGAGAGAGAGAGAGAGAGAGAGAGTTTATCTATAGAGTAATGCTACTTGTAGTCGCTCACTGCAGGAGTCGCCATATGTGGCACACACATGTAATTATTTGATACATTAATGTGTTAGTTTTTTACCATATTTAATGCATCAAATACACACTTGACATATATGTACCACAAAGGGCGATTACTGCAGTGAGCGACTGCAAGTAGCATTATTCTTATCTATAAGGTCTACTTTACCATGGATGATTGGTGATTGTGAGGCTCATAAGCAAAGACCAATTAAGCCCCCATTTGGCATCCATTCTTTCTATTTTTTTTTTTCCAATTCATTTTGCTACAGTTGTGGGCCCCATGTACATTTCCCTGTCATTTTTAATCGACAACAGTAGGTCTGCATGGGCCAGCTCAACACTTTGCAGTACACATTAATTTACACCCACAAATGCCGTTCAATTTTTTGTTTGCTTTGCCTTCAATAAAATGCAAATTTACACTATCGAAAATTAAAGGCAACGGTAATATTCAATTGAAATGAGTAGTCTGACACAAGTCAAATTCATCCTTGGCTTGTCCAATCTTCTTCTTGTTGCAAAATGAATTATGTTCAAAAATGAGAAAAAAAAAGGGATGCCAAACGGGGGCTAATATCAATCTTCCAGAAAACCGAGCATGTAAGTAAAGAGATTGGTGCAATATATTATTTTATTTAAATTCGCATCCATTGTTTATCTTTCTCCATGCCAGCTGGAAGGGTCCCATAACTGTGCTGTTCAATTTGGCTATGCTCCATTCCCTTTTTTAAAAATTCATTCTTTATCCAACTTGATCCCCATTGTTTTCCCAATAATGCATTTTCTTATCAAATCAAGTGGGACACCCTACATGTGACACCCTTTCATTTCATTTTTCAATTCTTGCAAATTTACATTTTTGTCCTTTTATCCTCGTTTGTTGGTTGTATGGTGGCAGGAATTTGGTGATCTTGAAATGTCAAAAGTCGACACATTGAAAATAAATGAAAGCAAACTTCACCCACATGAGGGATGTGTAGCGGTGCAAACGTATGGTTTCGGACCGATTCTTTTTCGGAGGGCAATTTACACGGATAAAAATTTCACGTTTACTTTCGAACAACATGTATATCTGAACGATCAATCAAATTTTAAAATTTTGGACAGAATTATTTCACTTTCCATCCACGAAAACAATTTCACCATACCAATTGAAAAGTTGTGACGTTGAAATATATATATCAATTTATTTTTCTATGTTCATAGAAGACTAGACATGTGTCGAATGTTAAGTTCATAAAACATTATATCATCATTGCTATCGTGCCATATAATCGCGAAATATGTTCTACTCACTTCGCTGTATTTCAGGTGCATTCATTTCGACATGCATTCAATCAAAATTTACTAAAAATTATAGACCTTGTTTAATTTCCATTTTTTAAAATACATTTTTCTCTCTATTCTTTTCAATCACATCTTTTTAATAAAACAATACTCCATCTGTCTCATTTATATAAGTCGACTTTCCTTATTTCTTATCTCAATTATATAGTCATTTTTTATTAAGAATATTGTTTTGTTCATTTATTAATATACCCTTATTTCATTTTTTTAATTATAATCAATTTTTCTCAATTTACTATTAGTTGTTGATAATTAAGTAAGAGTAAAATAAAAAAGTTTTGATAAAAATGGTTTTTTTTCAATAATATTAAATCAGATTTCTTAAATCTGTTTGAAAAACCAAAATCAATTTATATAAACGAGACGAAGATAGTATCACATATAACCCAAATTTTTTTCTTCATTTTTAATTACACATTATCAATCAATCTGCTATTTCAAAATACATTCTATACAAAAAAGGGGCTCAATTGCTCAAACATGTCCATAATTTTTATCAACTGAAGACTTGGTTTCTTTAGCAAACAACACTATGAAAATTCAAGAAATAGATAGGAAGTTTCTATTACAGATGAGATAATAAAAAAAGGAAAATTCTATTTGTACATCAACTTTTGTACATAAAGGATACATCCCCCTCACATGGGAGGTGGGACTCACTGCATAAAATATTTTTTTATTTAAGCGTGTCCCACCCCCCATGTGAGGGGAGTGTACACCTCGATATATATTGTGATGTACAAGTAGCAAAACTTTAAAAAAATATACATAATTAGAAATAAAATACATTAAAAAATCATTTTAACTCATGAATTTTCTTACCGTGCGTACGATATTGCTAGAAATTGATAGAAGCTAGTAATTTTCATGAATATGATGTAAAAGTAAATAAAAATTGTGAATTTAGAACAATGTAGTTAAAAATAAAGTTTAATAAAGAGAAAATTACCCAAAACTATGTATTTAAGTTTCCAAATTCAAAAATCAGGTGTAATATTTATTTTATCACAAATCAGGTGTTAATTGAATTAATAATTAAAAACCTAATTAAAACCTAATTTTCCATCCCATCTCTCATTCATATCTGTTTGAATCGTCCCACCCACACGCCTACTCTCTCTCTCTCTCTCTCTCTCTCGTCTATCCCTCATCGCTCTCTCCTCTTTTTCTCTCTTGTCACCGGAAACCACCGACGCCGTTGCAAAACTATCACCATCGCACGACCTCTTCCCAGGAGCGCTGCTGCTGCTGCAAAGATCTCTGCCCAGGATTAATAGCACCGTCGCACGACCTCCGATCAAAATCCTGCTGCTGCGAAGATATTTTCCGATCCTGCTGCTGCTACCGGTGGTAAAAAAGCTCGTAGACTTGGACAGCTCGGGCTCGGCTCGAAAAAAGCCCGAGCCCCTCTTTGGGGAGTCGGCTCGAGCCGGGGCCGGCCCGTGGCCCGGGCGAGCCTTAAAAAAAAATTTGAAGGCAGGCAGCAATCCTGTGCAAACTGCAGGCAGCTTACACAGTAGCAAGCTACCTGCACAGCTAGGCAGCAAGCAGCTTGCTGTAAGCTGCTGCAGGCAGCTTGCTTGCAACCTGCCTGCCTGTAGCTCGGAAAAAAAAAATAGTCGGCTCGGCCCGTTAAGGTTCGGGCCAAAAGCTCGGGCCGAGCCTCATTTTTTTTGGCCGGGCTCAGCTCGATCCAAAAAAGCTTGGGCTCGGCTCGAGCTTTTTTTTTCGACTCGACTCGTTGACACCGCTAGCTGCTGCATTAATCCTGGGCAGAGATCTCTTTCGGCATTAATCCTACGAAAATCCTGCTGCTGCATCAAAACTAGCATTTTTCGCTGCTGATGCGAAGATCTCCGATCGGAAAATGCAGTCGAAAGAGAACACCACCGAAGATCTCTCCTCAGGATCTGCTGCTGCAAAGATATTTGCTGCCGAAAGAGAACACCGCCAAAGATCTTTGCCTAGGATCTACTCTGCGCGATGCAGTTGATTGGATCTGGTTTTGGATGTGCGTGATGATGTCGTCGTGGCTACAGTCGATGCGATATGGCTAGGTTGTGGTGATGTATAATTGTGGTGGAGAGGTGGTTTGATGGTGTTGCCGTGTTGACGGTGGTGGAAGCGGCGGGTCGTGTGTGGGACGAGTGGTTGTGATCAGTTATTTGGGTGTTGTGATGCATTGTTTGTGCCGGTGGTGGTTGTGAGCAATTATATGCATTGTTTAAATGGTGCCTCGGGATGGTTGTGATATAGTGGTGGTTTTTGGTGGCGATGGTGTTGACGGCGATGCGATTGTGCGTGTACACTGCATTTTGATGTTCTGCATTTGTCATTTTAATCCGTTTCAATAGATCTGTGATGAAATTCTAGTGATTTTAACATATATTTTCCTTTAATAATTTAAGCAGCTATGGCTCATCAAATGTACCATGTTTTGTTCAGTTTAACAACTAATAAAAATAAACGAGTAAGATTGATACATTTATGAACAAATAAATGCAACTACGGTGGCATCTAGTTTCTGATTGTGACCGATTGTAACCATTTATGACAGATTGTGACTCGTTATGACATATTGTGACAGATTTATGACAGATTGGTCAAGACGGACACTAGATGACGATTTGTGACAGATTGTGACCGTTTGTGATCGATTGTAACCGTTTGTGACCGATTGTGACTGGTTAATTGTGACTTGTTGTAACCAATTGTGACCGATTGTGACTTGAAAATTTGGAAATATGTGTATTCAGAACAATTTTTGGATGAATCAATTGTATTCAGAAGTTTGTAAACAATTTTCGTTACTTCTTTCTGGTGGTGGATTGTGGTGTTAGTCCGTGGTGTAAGCAGATTTGTTTTTGGTGACTATTTTTGATCAAATATATGTATACTGTGACTGATTGTGACTTGAACATATTCAAGTCAC